TTTTAGAGGAATGCTCCCCGCCCACTTGTGATCTCGCAAATTTAAATTCAGCCTTCCCGTGCCCACGGGTAACACGTACAGCTTCGCAAAATTTTTGGTGGGAAAAATTATTATCTCGCGAGTTGTGGAAGCTAGGAAGCTGAAATTTCGTATGTGTTTTCTGCTTACGTGCGACCTAGGAAATTTAAATTCCTTCCTGTGCGCTTGAGTACCACGTACGGCCGCGTAAAAGTTTTGGTGCGAAAATTATTCCAGGAATCATGAAAGCTAGAAAGCTGAAATTTAACGAGAATGTTCCTTTTCCACGTGCAACCCCGCAAATTCAGAATCAGTTTTCAGTCGAGTCTGATTATTTCGACGGAGAAAATTGCTATTTCGGAAGCCATAAAAAATATAAAGCTGAAATTTTAGGAAAATGTGACCTAGCCGAATCAAATTCAGCTTTCATGTACACTTGGACCTGTTGCGCTTCCCGCCTTGAAAGTTTTGGTAGGGAAAATTATTATCTCTGGAATTAAGGCTGAAATTTCAGGACAATGTTATCTGCCTGTGCAGATACCTCGTAAACTCAAATTTAGCTCTCAATCATGCCGAGATCTTACGTGCGACCACGTGAGCGTTTTGATGAGGAAATCACTAAATTGAAAGTCGAAAAACTAGAAGGTTGAAATTTTTAGTAGGAAATTCCTTAGCTTAGGAACCAGACAGCATATCGACTATTGGTCCGCACACGAAAGTGTAAAACAGTTATGTTTTTAGCAGGCAAACATCCACTGGACGGAACTGCGCAAAACTCATGATCGCACCGGTTACCTTGGTGCGGGCCTCTATTTTTTGTTTAGGTGACTTCTTGAGAATCGTTCAAACAGTGAGTAGGAGTGTTTTCAGTTTCAAAGGTTTCGCGCCGAAGAAAATCGATGAAGTGCTGAAGACTGAGGAATACAATGAGCACTTTTGCAAGCTTGTGGAATGGATGTGCAATGAAATCTCAGCACTGTACGGCCTCGACGAAACAGTCCATGCACCAACGGCACCTGATAACGTCGAATTTTTCTTGCTTGAGCTCAGTTCGGTGCTCTCTGAATTGGGTATGCATTTTATTGGCTACATATAAGAATATTGGTGCCTTTAAAAGCTGTTTTACCGTCACATGTTTAATATATATGTGGATAATTGTGAAAATTGTAGCAGAATTGTTGGTAGGTGGGCTAAAGAATTGCACAAACTGTGATGCAGCCATAGTACACAAAGAATAAATAGCGACGCACCAGGCAGCCGGTGCGGCCATGCGTTTTTGCAGTATTTCGTGCTTTAGTAAGATCGCTGGGAGTTCCAATAGCTAGACTTTGTGACATACTGGTCCTCAAAGTTCAGAAAGTTAACTGTGCAACTACACGTTACTTGGGCTGGCTCTTGTTTCCGAGTTAGCGGTTTCCCCGCCAAAACTTTCACTTGCTCGCACGCGGGCCCCAGGCATGCGTGAGGGTTGATACCGCGGTCCTGGAGTGGTACTTCGCCAGGAAACAGTAAAAATCTTACGGTTTGGGGAGGGGGGGGGTGAACTAGTATGGTGGATCGTTGTGTGGCGTCGTGCTCTGAGCTTACGCGCACTGTAGAGAAGCAAAATCAAGTTTATGACTTACTGGTGATGAATCGTTAAAACAGCAAATATACAGCACAAAGTGTGGCGCTTGGAATCTAACGAGTCTGTGGGCTTGCCGAGGAGGAGATGTTGTAGCAGAGAATGGTCGATGAGGCCCAGAAGTGTATTGACGAAGTCGAGTTGAAGAGCCTGAAGAGCCCTGGGTATGTGGATGGGCGGTTTTTAAAAGGAAGTGAGAACAGTCCCAAAAGAGCATGTGATAGTTTCTGGAGGAGTTGAAAATGTGCCAAAATGTAAAAATGGTAATTAGGGTAAAGGGAAATGGGAAAAGAGAAGATGGAAATAAGGGTTTTTAAGGGGGTTGAAAAAGGATTGAAAAGCGAAAATAACAAAAGTGCAACATCTGCGAATGCAGGTTCATTCCCAAAAATAAGAACAAAAACGGGGTAAAAGAAACGAATAAGGTTTTTTTTATACACAGTTATCAAATATTTACAAAACCCAATGGCAAAATTTTGGCACCGGAGCTTGCTTGGTTGCCGGGCTGAGATACCCGGGCAAACGCGCGCGCACACACACACACACGCACACACACACGCACACACACATGCACACACACACACACATATACACACACCATGGATCGTCACAATATGCTTTTTTGCATTTGCATATAAGCAGAAACACATAAAAATGGGGAATCGATCGGCAACACCAGCTGATTAATGATAAAGTTTAGATCATAGTAGTTACTGATGTTGCCAGCTGCATTGATGGGATGAATATGTGCTGCAGTGAAATACCGAAACAAAGTGTTAAGATGAGGACTTGGCGAAGTTATTATTGAATTTTCTGTTAGTACGGATCAGTAAATCTTGTACATTGCATCGTTTTGCAGAGTGCCCGGTGCATGCACTTACACTTGGACCGGTGATGGAAAGATTTCGGTCTGCAGAGAATCGTACCAAATTGCTGCACTTTCTTCTTGATCACCTGAAATGTGCCCGTCTGACTGCTTTGGAACGCCTGTACAACGACGCTGCAGGAACGGTTAGTTAAAATATCTCAAAAATGTTGTAATAGTGAAAAAATTTGGAGTAGAGGAGAGGGAGAGCATGAGGAAAACTAGTGTCTCTTTCTGGAATAGCAAAGATGAGCAAGGAAATGAATGCTGCGCTTTCTATCACTGGCATTATCGGCTGTGTCGTCTCCTTCTTTGGTCTTCTGAATTTGTAAATTGAAAAAATGTCTTATCGTTCAGGATGCGAGAAATCGTTTTTTTTTAATGCGTTTTGTGCTGTGTAACAGCAGTACAAAACGCATATTGTTACGAGGTTGTCTGTGTGTGTGT